TAGCATTGTTAATGTTGCTACCAGTATTAGCATTCATTCTATTGCACTTGTAACAGCATTTATATATCTCATTTGGACAGTATACAATCTTGCTATTTTCAAATTCCAGTATTCCAAATATTTTATCATATTCAATGTCTTCAGATGGATCATATGACTCGTTCAGGTAGGACTTGCTCTGCACATTGTTTATTGGAGTCACATTCTTGGTGTAAAACATAAACTCAATATCATCACACGGTGTGGATGTGGTGATATTAACTGTTTCATTTCCCGAAGGTATTTGATCAAATTCTTCGTTTATTTCAGCTTCTGTTTCATCCTTTTGTTTATACTCGTACTCTTTACTTTCTTCATCTTCATCCTTAATTCTTATACAGCAAAGCATCCTCTTGCCTGCGCTTCTAAGCCAATTTCCGGTAAGAACCGTTACAGAATAAATCAATAGTAGATTCATGGTGAAATATTTTATGGTTTTATTACAAAAACACAGTATTAATAAATCAATATACATTTATGGTCTACGTAAGTATGGGATTCTCCTACTGTATCTATCAATGTAGTCGTAGAATCTCCTTGCCTTATCCCTGGCATATTCACGCGCATCAATTCCATCCAGGTACTCGTCAAACATCAATCCGCTACCTTTATTCGATGGCTCCAACAGTGGATTGGCTTTGTTGCTAATACAACAGCACAGATTGAACAATACAGAGATCATAAACATGTCTGATCAAAACTGTTTTATTTTATAGGAGACTGTTTTGATATGAGACACTGATCTGATTGTTGAGTAGATTGAATACAAGTGTAAAAACCCATGTTGGATAGCAGATTATACAATATTATTATATATTTGTTTATTTCTAAGTGACACTTCTTACTGATTTATTTCTTAGTCATGAAACCTGTCAATTTGTATTCTTCGCTTTTCTCATTCATCTTCATCTTCAAGGTTCCCTCCAGGGTAATTGGTGGATTTGCTTTGATGTCATCTGGCAACTTCTTCATTCCACCAATTGCCTTTCCAAGCTTCTCGGTCTCCTTCTCTTTTGTCTTCTCCACCTTATCAGTTTCCTTATTTTTATTGTCTTTCTTTTCCTCTGATGATGGCATTTGTATTCTTATGAATGGGAATTCCCTGGTAGTTTGGAATATCTTCTTTTCTTTATCTGTTTGTCCTGTTTTAATGTCTATTTCTTTCGTAATGGCAATTTCCTTGTCCTTTCCCTTATCTTTTTCTTTATCCTTTCCCTTATCTTTACCTGTCTTTTTATCTACGTTAGTCTCAATCTTCTTGTCCAACTCTTTAGTCTTCTCCAATTTCTCTTTCTTTTCCTTATCATCAGTCTTTTCTATTTCTAGATCTGCCTTATATTTCTCCTCCATCTTCTTCTTCGCTTCCTTCTTCTTTGTCTCCTCCATCTTCTTATCTTCCAATTTCATCATCTCCATCTCGTACTTCTCTTGCATCTTCTTTAGCTTATCTTCCTTCTTAGTCTCAATTGCCTTCTTAATTTGCTTTTCTTCTGCCTTTCTCTTCTCCTCCTGTATCTTTTCTTTCTCCTCGCTTGTCTTTGCCTTCTCCATCTTATACTTGAATTCCTCATTCTTTATTTCTACCTCTACCTTAGTTACCTTCACTCCATACTCTTCCTTCACACCATCCTGTGCTTTCTTTATCTCATACGCCTTCTTTGTGTCATCTTTTCCATACTTCACCTCTTTCAATTTATCTAGTTTCTCTTTCATCTCTTCCTTCAGACTCTTTATCTTCTCCTCTAACTCCTTCTTCTTTTTCTTGTACTCTTCTTCAAGTTTCTCTTCCTTGCTCTTCTTTGCTTCGACTACTTCTTTCTTCTTATCCTTCAATTTCTCGTCCAATTTATCCTTCTTTTCCTCTATTTTCTCCTTCTTCTCTTTGTATTTCTCATCCAACTTCTTAACCTGTTCCTTTGCTTCCTTCTTATCATCTTTCTTTTCTGCTATTTCCTTCTTCTTTTCCTTATAATTCTCTTCTAACTTCTCTTTCTTCTCCTCTATCTTTTCTTTCTTCTCCTTGTATTTCTCTTCTATCTTTTCTGCATCCTTCTTGCCATCTTCTTTCTTTTTACCATCGTCAGTCTTTTTATCAGCCTTTTTCTCCTTGTCTTCTGCTTTTACAACCTTAATCTTTACATTATCCTTCTCACCCTCTTTCTCACTCTTATCCTTATCTCCCTTACTTTTCTTCTCACCCTTCTCTTGTATCTTTTTTATCTTCTCCAAATCCTTGTCATCCAATACAGTCACTGTCTTCAACTTCACAACAGCTTCCTCCTTATTCGGTCCAACATAAATCGTAGTCAATGTTGTGTCTTCATTCTTCAGGTTGTTTGACACATCCACTACACTCTTCAGTTGTTGTTCACCAATATTCTGCCCTGTCAGTTTTAAACCGCTATTATTGTTCAAATTAGTCAAATTCACCTTGTTATTATTTTTGCTGTCCACATCAGCAATTGCCTTATTGCCCTGTTCTGACAAATTGCTCATACCAACCACAAATGGATCTACCATAGCTTCAGCCAGTACTCCACTAACCCACATCGACATGGCCAATACTACACCCTGTCCCATGCGAATATCCATAGTCTGTTTCCTGTTTGAAATATTTTGGTAAGATCTAAAACACTGTTTTATGTTGTGTAATTTAGTATTCCTCATTGCTTCTTCTCTTTCTCTGAATTCCCTTGCACTATCTCACACTTCAGCGTCTCACATGGATTCTGACACGTATTCTTCTCCTCGCACTCACAATCTGGCTTACACTCTATGCCCTGGTCTTCACTATCTGTGGTCTCTACTACCACTGTCTTATTGATTGTGATGTAACTGGTATCTTCAGATTGGTCCTGGTCCTCCTTGCTCACTTTGTCCTTATCCTGACACTTTTCTGGTGCTGGTTTCTCACACTTCTTCTCCTCCTTCTTTTGTTCACACTTCTTCTCTTCCTTCTTCTCCACACTTACAGTCTTCACTTCTGTGACACTCTTTGTCTGAGTCTGTACGCTACAAACTGTCTCTGTGCTACTCACTGTGTCTGTAACTGTATTTTGTACTATATTTGTGACTGTATTCTGCACTGTACGTGTTACTGGCACTTCTTTAGTAACTTCCTTTGTTATTTCCTTAGTTGATGCAACTGGTACTGCTGCTGAACTACTAGAGCATTTTGAGGTCGTACTGGTGCATTTTGTCGTACTTACTGGTTGCATACTACTGCAATTACGCGTAGTTACTGCTGGCTCCTTGTGACTACATGCATCCATTCCACCCCTATCAGTCTTAACTGCCTTTGTTTCCTTCTTCTTATCATCACTGCATTTTAGGTCGTATTTCAGTTTCAATGCCCTGAATTGGATTCCATTCCTTCCCTCCGTGTTTAGTGGAATAGTCTGCTCCTTGTTGTCTGTTACGTTGATGTTGGTGCATTCTTGTTCTGGTTTTGTTGTGTTATCACTGCAGGTGTGAGATGTAGGCTGACTTGGTTCAGTTGGTGAAGGTGTTGGTGCAGGTGCCTGAGATTGAACTGGGGCAGGAGCAGCACTTTGAACTGGTGCTGGTGCCTGAGATTGAGTTGGTGCTGCACTTTGTGCTGGAGTTGGAGTTGCTGCCTGAGACTGAGATGGTGCTGCACTTTGTGCCGGTGCTGGTTGAGACTGAGCTGGTGCTGCACTTTGTGCTGGTGATGATCCACCAGATGCTCCACCTGCTGCACTTTGAGTTGGTGCTACACTTTGAGCTGCTCCTGTACTTTGAGTTGGTGCTCCACCTGCTCCGCCTGATGCACTTTGAGCTCCTCCACCTACTGCGCTTTGAGTTGGTGACGCACTTTGTGCTGCCATTTTATCCATCAGGTTCTTCTGCTGCTGGCATTCACTCTCTGGTACTGCGTTATCCTGAATTAGCCCTGTTTCAGTCAATTTCCCCTTCTCAGGAATCTCACTCTTTTTACACCCACAGTCTTTTCCAGCAAATGCCCCTGATTTATCCTTCAACTGTCCATCTGTCATCGTAAACTCAATATTATTCGTGTAGTCTCTGTATACATCTCCATCCTTGTAAACCAGCACATCCTTCACCTGTTTACAGTCCTTACACTCGTTTAGTATCGCATTGACCTGATTTGCATTCACAGCAGAGGCGTGTTTGACCTTTTCAAGTGCAGCATAGGCTGAGACAACAGAAGAATGAGCATTGCCAACAGAAGATGCTGCTGAAGATGGCATAGCACTTGACGCCCCTGAAGAAGCTGCTGAAGATGGCATAGCACTTGATGCGCCACTTGATGCAGCTGAAGATGGCATAGCACTTGATGCGCCACTTGATACTGCTGAAGATGGTGCCCCACTCGATGCTCCTGAACTTGGTGCACTTGCAGATGCTGATTTCCCTGGGGCTGAACTTGCACCCTTTGAACCAGCTGAACTTGCACCCTTTGAACCAGCTGACTGGGCTCCTTTTGATTCTGCTTTTGCTCCTGCTGATTTGCTTGCCGCTCCATCTTTGGCTGCACTTGATGCTCCAGCTGCCTTGCCATCGCTCTTTGCTCCACCAGCCTTACTCTCTTTGCTTCCACCTGCTGCCATTGCTCCAGCACCTGCGGCTGCACCAGCTGCTCCAGCCACAGCAGCAGTGGTTCCAGTTGATGTCGTTTTACCAGGTTCCTTATTTGGATCTTCTTTGGATTTCTTGTCCTTATCCTTATCACCTGTCTTGGATTTCTTATCCTTATCACCTGATTTGCTCTTGTC